ACCAAGTTAAGAAGTACATAGGTAGGTGTCTCGGAGATCTTGAGTACCAATTAGATGTTATAAACCACTTGTTGTAGTCTTTTAGATTTTGTATTCTTTACTTTTAATACATTGATTTCAGAATATCGGGTATTTTATACTTAAATTTTAAGAGTCACAGCTTGCTATGCGCCCTTCGTCGTGACGCATAACATGCTTTGTGGGGATAGGGCTGATAAGAATTGAAGCTCTGTTACTGAATGCTGCAGGTTAGGAGATCCCAGGTGTCTGCCAGCTGACAGATCCTCTCTTTGTTATCCACGGTACCTGTCTGCAGGTGAACCGTGCGGCTGCCGCATCCAGCTTCCCCGGACTGGGCTGGGCAGTAAGTGGAGAAGGCTACTTGGCAGACACCCTTTCCCTGATTGGCCAGATAGGCTGGATGACAACTTTTTAGGCCTTCGTAAAAGCTGTGTTGGCTTCGCCCTAGCGAAAGCCCTGTCTCAGCTATGTGGGCCATAGTCATTGGCAAGTTGATGACGACTACTGCCTTTCAACCAAACGTTGTTGCCTCCATCAATCCTATCTGCACATCTACCATACTTAAGTTGCGATTAACTCGGCCATCTTCAAATAATCCATTGATTAACGTGTTACCCACATTAGTATCCCATAAATCCGAGTGTCATCAACAGAACGAATAACTCAAAAGTCGATAATGCCTCCATCTCCTTGCTAGTCGCTTACTATTTCATAATCGACGGATAATATATCATTCACCAAGAATCTGATCCGTCTATCTCATCTTCATTCGCCATCATGTCTGAAGAAGAGACATCACCTCTACTTTCAACCGCCGCCAAAGGCAAATCCCCGACCCGGGAGCGGCCTGGTTCTAGCGAGTCAACACCACTACTATCGAGCTCTTCTGGCACCCCGCGCTACGATGGAGAAGCCGACGACCATAATGAAAACAACACTATTTCGAACCGACCTAATTCCGCTAATGTCTCGACTAAAAAATCGAGAAGATGGCCGTCTTTCATCGCGATGGGTATCCTTGGGATAGTCGTACTTGTCATCATCGTTCTTGCATTCATGGTTCCCGAGGCGGTTCAGGAATACGCGCAACAAGCCGCCGTGGTCGAACCCACCGACCTTGCTCTCGAGTCCATTACGACGAACGGCGTCCGACTCCGAATACAGGCGGCTTTCCATTTAGACGGGTCGCGAGTTGACAACGATCATGTGCGAAGAGTAGGCAGAGCTACCACGTGGGTGGCATACCAACTAGAAAGCGAGCAAACCAAGGTGGATGTACGTCTTCCCGAGTATGATAACCTACTACTTGGAAGTGCGGTCATTCCACCTCTTGTGGTTAACTTGCGGGACGGCGATGTGACCAAGTTTGACTTCATCGCAGACATAACGCCTGGAGATGTGGAAGTCCTTCGTATAATCTCGAAGCAATGGCTGGATGGCAAATTGGACCAGCTGCGTCTGAATGGAGAAGCTGATGTCAGCGTAAAATCGGGAATCTTTCCTCTCGGGACGCACTTCGTCTCCGAGTCTCTTGTATTTGAAGGTCAATCACTCTACCAATCCGTTGCTACCTTTTACCTCGGGAGGAAGGTCTTGTTGTGGCACATCGGATCAAACCTGGGGCTATCACTTACATGAGCAAGATGTACTAACTTCTCGAATAGCGAACAAGGTTCCTACAATGCCTAAATATAACATTACTCGTTTTAACGTCGAGGATGGGCCGATGAACGGATCGATGCTAGCTGATTTATCCCTATCGATATTTAACCCGTATCCGGTTGAACTCGATATCCCCGAACTTGCGTTCGATATTCTAGTACCTGGCTGCGCTGCTTCAGATCCGTCTATTCTAGTAGCAGAAGCAGGCATGGGCAAGGTCCATGTCGTACCGCGCGCCGATATCGAAACGGATGTCAAGGCGGTTATTCGCGAACTTCCCGAATCGCTGACTCACGATTGCCCGGATTCTTCCTCGTCACCATTAGACATATTGCTCAAGCAGTATATGCATGGCGACCCAGCCACCCTTTTCGTTCGTGGAAGTCGTCATCCTGATGGCGACACTCCTAAATGGATCGCCGATATTCTATCTAGTGTGACTGTTCCTGTTCCATTTCCTGGGCGATCACTGGACGGCTTACTCAAGAATTTCTCGTTGACCGATGTTCACTTCTCTTTACCAAATCCAGACGCTGAACCTGACGACCCCGATTCCAACCCAAAGGTCTCTGGCAACATTCAAGTTACCGCAGGCCTTCCTTCTGAAATGAATTTCGGTATCGAGGTCACAAACGTTCGTGCTACGGCAGACGTGCTCTATAAGAAGAGAAAACTAGGGGAGCTTAACATACGAGAATGGCAACATGCTAATTCTACCAGGGTCCAAGATGACGAGGGGCAGGCATTGCAGATACAATCTCGCGTCATTGATGCGCCCCTGAACGTTACCAATGGCGAGGTTTTCAGCGAGGTGGTTCGGGCATTATTATTCGGCATCCAACCAGTCCAATTACACGTTGACGCATTAGTCGACATCAAAGTGCAGACCACACTAGGGAATCTCACTCTAAAGGAGGTTCCCGCAGAGGGCAAAATCCCAGTAAAACGTCCGTCTTCGCTATTTTGATCAGTTAGTCGCTCTCTTGGGTGGACCGTCTAGTTAGGACGGCTCAATTGTCGAGGTGCAATGCCTTGCCTTTTTGTCATCTCATACGCCGCGGCTTGTGCTAACAGGTTTTCAGCCCTTCCTAAGGGCTCGATTGGCAGTCTTGATCCAAAGATTGGATCTCTCAGAATTTTGGACACGACCTCGGACTCGATAACGTTGCAAGCGCTGATCAACATCACCAACCCGACGCCGTATACAGCCTACGTACCATATGCTAATGTTCATGTTCTTAACAATGGATCGGTCCTCGGAAGCGCTACCATAGAGAACGTGGACATAACCAAAGGTCCCAATACGAATATGCTTGTCACTGCGAAGTGGAACCCACCTATGGGTGGTGACCATGGTCGCAAGATTGGTCGCGATCTAATTTCACAGTATCTGTCAGGTTGGAACACAAGCATCACTGTGAAGCCTCATCGCGACAGCATTCCTGGTCAGCGTATTATCTGTGACGCTTTATCGGTTTTCAACATGACATTAGCGGCCCCCAAACTAGACCTCCCCGGCGACACAGAAGAAGAAAAGTCTCACTTTATCAGAGATGCTACATTCCACTTCTTTTCATCGACGGCCACATTTACACTTGTATCACCTTTACTTCATAATACTATATATCTAGACTTCGTCAACGCTACCGCACTGTACAACCACACCGAACCCATAGGACAGATCCTTTATGACTTGCCATTCGCAGCACCTCCCGGTAAATCGCAAACACCGAGACTCCCTGTCGATTGGTCGATTGGATCCGTTGGTTACGACGCTGTCAGGAAAGCCATCGGCGGGAATTTAAAGTTGGACGCATATGCGAATGTTGACATGCGTCTTGGGAATTGGAGGGAGTCTCTTTGGTACCGGGGCACAGGTATTGGTGCCAGCGTGCAGTTGTGATTTTTCTTTTTCGACTTGGTAAACTGGGAGCTGGCGTTTTACGGAATCGGCAGGTTGTAGAATCGAAACCAACCAGGAATGGCGCAATTGGTATTTTGTTATGAGATTGTAGGATGAAAATACCTGTCGTGAAGCATATATCTATTATCACTTACATTTTGTGCTGTTTTCTGTGACATGTCCAACGTGATGTTATATTCGTTGCGCCACTCTATCTTTGCGGAATTAGACAAGACAACTACAAAAAATCCCAGACCAAGCCCAATTATTATACACTATGCCATCTTTGCCATTTATAAGGGTTGACAACGTCGAGGTTCAAGGCCCCAATATTGCCAGGGGTATGGTCAGCCCCTTTCCCGATGACTAAGCGGCCATGACATAATTTTTACCTTCCAGCTTGGTCGTCTCGCAAACCTTCATCTCAACATCAAGTCCATCGTGACTTTTGATTAGAGACAAATCATCAAGAAGGGACCTTAATCAATTAATCGGGTTCATAAATCACTTCATAATCACAACCTCAATTTTTTATTCCCCTCATTAGACCTACCGGCGGGCAAAAATAAAATAAAATTGAGCTCAAGCTGGCGGCCAGTTAAGCTAGCTCATAAGCTTCACAAAAGCGACCTGCATTATCTCACCTAAACTTGCGCACACACACAAAACATACCTACCTACTTATACACCATGCCACGGGTGCCCAAGATCTACTCGCCATACGGGCCGCGCCCAAAGCGCTCAGCGCAGCTCGTCCTCATATGGATGGTTATTCTGGTTGTCGCGCTGTTCGTGACGTTCTACCTCACGAGACGCGAGGCCGGCCCGTCGTCGTACGCCGGCATGCGGCTTGCGGATGAGGCTCGGTTGGGCAAAGAGCCTGCGGGTGCGGATGTTGCTGCTGCTGCGGCGGCGGCTGGGGATGGGGGAGGAGAGAAGTTGAGAAGGAGGATGGGTATGATGGTGCCGTGATTCTGGATACTTGGGACGGTGGGTTGGGATGGGGTCGGATGTTGGATGGTTTGCAAGAGTGTCTTTAGTCACCGAGGATATCGTACCGGTCGACATGTGTGTAATGGAATAGGACACAACTTACTTACATACGAGGACTGGATACCTACTACCTACGCTTTGGTACACCTAATTTCACTTTACCTAATAGCTATCTGCTTGGTCTTAAAACTTCACCATGGACAGAGGTTCGTGCATGTCGACTCTAATTCACTAGCTCCACGACACCCTCCATAGCACGAATCAGATACTTCCCCTTGGAACAAACACAGATAAGACGGGTTGACACTATGCTAGCGGCCCCACGCCAATTCGGAGCCGCTTCACACAAATAACCTACTTATAATCTTGTAGCAGGTCAAAATACCATCCAAGTCCGAATGGACGAGAGCTTGTATACTCATCCGGTGTGGTGTAGGGGTCAACATTTGACGTTTTCAAGTCTCGACTACGAGATCTAAAGACCGTCAAGCCCGGGGTTCGATTCCCCGCACCGGAGTTCTTTTGTGGATTCAGTATTCTTTTTTGGTTATCATTTTGATTCACATTAATATCTTTTTGTCCTATGCGAAGATTTCTCGTGGGGATAGATAGATGGGTGAATTCTGTACTTGACTTGAACTTGGTTGAAAACATGTCTTGGCGAGAATAAGCTCATACGGTGATTTTTTTTTTATTTTTGTAAAAGAGTCTTGGACAAGTCATTCTTTCTGAAGGAGATGATCAAATTCAAATTCGGGGAAAACGAGCGAGAATTCGAGGCTACCTACGTCCTAAATGCCTAGTCTTAGCTTCCTTTCCTTAGACCCAGTAGGGAGGCATCCATCATAGGGCAACTTGAGCCGCAAATTGACAGCCAGCAATCAACGGGGTTGATAGTACGGCGCAGTGGCGGAGTGGTCTAACGCGCAAGACTAGAATCATCTAGACCTTCACCGTCAAGAAAGAATCTGTGATCTTGTTCCTTCGGGAGCGTCTGTTCGAATCAGGCCTGCGTCGTCGTTACATTTTGCGCAATTGGAATGAATACCTACCTAGTAGTGTCACTCAATTATCTTTTTTTATTTTATTTTCTATATGTAGGTACGTACGTACGACTTTTAATACAAGAGCCATGTATTATTTGTTATCTTTGTCCCTCACGTCGAACATCAACGCAATGGTAATCACCGCCGAGATTCATGAGCCATTCCGTAAAGTACTGAGCAATGTCCATCCTGATCCGATCGACCCTCGTACTGTTTCCTAAAGTCGCAGAAATTCTTCAAAGTACGGCGAAAAGTTTCTATCCTGCCGTCGTTCTCGATCAGGTACTCAATGTAAATACCCAATAATCTCTGTCGCACAAAGCATAGGTACAAAAGGATGGATCCAGAAGAACGACATAGGTTCCGTGTTCCCAGGTAACAGATGCTCTCATTAACCCGCTATATGTCAGCCCGTCAACACCATCGGGATCGGGTTGGAAACGAGGTTGTCGAGGGTCCTTTTTCACAGTGGCTCGCATGGCCATGGCGACCCTCACAGAACTGGACTCTCCCAGCATTCCATTTTTCCACGGGAGCATTCCGATATTTTCTTTCCATCGTGAGAGCAAAGCGCGAGATTGAGTAGGTCGACCAGATTGGCAATATCTTGTTGCTGTGTAAACGTCGACTATACTTGCGGAATGCAAGAACCCCTTCAAAACATATACGTTCGTGGTGGTGACGATTGCCTCTATTCCCGACACCCTCATTTGCACTTGCCATCGGTCACCTAGTCGCATTCACTATTATCATTGTCAGAACTACATTGAAATTTCATCTGGAGATTCCAAACCTTACAGAAAGAGCCAATACCCGTCATACTTGCTCCCTATCATAGCTTCACCCCCCTCAAGAGCGGTATTTGTTAGTGGCGCCCACGATGTAAAATGTAAATAAGTACCTAGGTAACTATAAATTAATTATGGAGTTATAAACAGTTACGTTGAATGTAAGCCTTCTGGGAGATCCGCAGCCTTGTAGTTTTCTAACAAGATTTATTGTACTCGAACGAAGAGATTGTTGTAAATGACTTTATGTTATATATAGGTAGCATAACAATGTATTGTGATCGAATAAAGGCAATGAGTTATGACATTGTTAGCGTTATGCCATTCTATATATATGACAGATAAGATCAACTTGCAGTGAGAATCTTTTCTCGGCACCAGCTTAGTTGATTTCAACTCAGTAAGTACCTACCTACTCACCCTGAAATTGAAATTCGACATACATACCAGTCTATTTAATTGCGCTCCAGAAGAAAGCCACCCATCATGTCGTCGAACCAGAGCCGCTCTCCCTCTCCCTCTCCCTCTACCTCCACTCCGCCGTCGCCCACTACCCAGCAGATGCTGGACCTAGAAGCGAACATCAACAAGAAGGCTAGGGAGATCATCGACATGGAGATCCAACTGTGGAGAGACAGCGGTCGGATTGTAGACGACTCGGAATCAACCTTTGAGGTGTCTTCGGGCTCGGACGAGTCGGACTCGGACGCATCCTTCATCGAGGTGATCCAGGATCACCCGGGACGCCAAAATGCCATCTACACCGGTGAGTACCGCCTCCCCATCCGTTCCCGCGTAGATTCCATACACCAAGGCTTCACTGAGGACGAGACTCACGTACCTCGCTCACGCACCCCCTCTCCCCTGCGCATGGCTCTCAGGCTCGCAAGGCTGAACCAGCAGCGACTGAGCCGAATGGCTCCCGACGTCGACCTGGACGGCGGCAAGGAATTGGGGTACATGGACCTCAACGCTATCGAGGAGTACCAGCCCCTACTCGAGATGGACAGGATTGGAGCCGAGCTTCGGGCCAGACTCGCTCTCGACGGCTTTGGGTACGAGGAATTTGTTGAGGAGGAGCCTGAAGAAATGACTGATGAGTCCTCTGAGGACAACAAGGACGGCAAACAGCCTCAGGCTTAGGTCTGAGGGGACCTTGCATAAGCTCCTGTGAAGTTGCCTCGGCGTGACTAGCAGTCTATTCTTCTCTCTTCGTCATTTAGATAGTACGTCCATACCTCACTCAATATGCGCCACCAGGATCGATGGATAAAAATTCAAGAGCCTGAATCAATAAAAATACAGCATATTGAACTATAATAAATAATGCCTACATGTATTGTGATTATATGAAATAGTCGACGGTGTATCGTGATGTAAAAGAAAAGAAATAATTATACTTGAAGTTGTTCAAGACCCCTAGAGGTGAGGTAGGTAGTGATGCGTATTTGGGCGGGGAAAGTGTTAAGTTGATGTTAAAATGATTGGTCAAAAATGGTGTGACTAAGTAGAAAGTAAGAGATATATACTACAACACTAAACCGCTTTTCAACATCGGATATCCCTCGCTTGAGAGCCCACTCTCAAGTGTTCCGCCCTTGGTGGTGTAGTTGGTTATCGCGTTCGGCTGTAATTGTAAGATTGTATACCGAAATGTCGCCGGTTCGATTCCGGCCCGAGGGATCTTATCTTTTTGCGTTTTTGCTATATTCGGTGTTTGGCTTTTTTTGTTGAGGCGAAGTGGAAAACTCTGATTCAGACATTAAGCGGGTAAATTTTTTGCGCACGAAGGTAGGCAATTTGTGTGAAGCTTTGTTGAGTTAACCAGGTTGAAGACCCAAGGGGATCGCAATTAACAGCAATAACAAAAGAGATTATTGATGGGTGCATCAAATTTGCTTTGCTACTGAAGTACGTAAATTAATGCATCGACGATGAATTTACTATAGCTCTCTGTTAAACGTGAATCTATCCACATATACTACTAATGGCTACAGGATTTCATAGGCCTCAATAGGATGGTCCGTAAAACCGAACGCATGAAAACCTTACCAGAGGATGTGGGAACTACGAGCAACAAAAATGGACATGGCACATAGAGATGATTCAAGTAAAATACGGTCTCAAACACGGACTTCATATCACATGGATCAGGACATCACGACGAGTAGAAGACTTGAAGACGGTGTCAGCAACAAATTACTAGCTGATAAATAAGTATACAACGAATAAGGGATATGCACCTTTCAGAATAGTTCGGTCCTCCGCCACATCACGCAAGTCGAACACCCGCTTCCTTCCTCTTCTTGGTCTGCTGCGCGGTCGCGGAGCTCATACCGACGTTCTGGCTGGCATCCAGCATGCTCTGGGACTCGCGTCGCTTCTCGTCCTCGATCTTCTTTAGTCGCTTATCGGTCTTGCCCTTGCCGCTTCCCTTGCCGTGGAACTGGTGGCTGAGATGCTTGAATGCTTCCTTCTGGTCAAGAGAGCGGCCATGCTCGTCGTGATACTTCAGCTCTACGTTAGGCTTGTATCCCTTGTTAAAGAGATCAACTAGCTGTCGCGATGCCTGCTGGTCGCGCATGTTGTTCTGCTGTCGTGCCCACTCTTCTCTTTCTCGGACTGTCATTCTGTCGAGCCTTCCGCTGTTGCGATCGCGTTCGCGCTGGTTGCGGGCGTCCTGCTCGATGTCGGCTAGCTTGCGCTTCTTCTCGGCAATAAAGATTTGATGCTGCCGCTGCGTCTCGTTGAGCTCCGCAGCGCCGGTTTCCTTCAAAAGTTGACGCTCCCTTAGAAGTTGTAGTGTCGCACCGAGACCCGATCCGATTGTCTTCTCTTCATCAACACCAATGACGGCTGTTTCTGCGGGGGTGGATGTTTCGCGCTTAACTCTGTCATTATCAACCTCGTACCCGTCTTTCATAGGCTCGTCCTCGTCCCCCTCGTCTTCCATAGCTGTGACTGGTCCTTCTCTAGGCGACTTCGGTTTGCGAGGTTTGCGGTCTTCAATATCTTCTTTCTTGAGACCGGACACAAATTCAGAGATCTCATCTAGAACAAGACCACCCTCTTGAGCGCCGTTATCCTCATTCTCGACCTCCGGCGTGTTTGCTTCCTCTCGTAATTGTCGTGCTATATCTTCTGGGCGTGTCCTCTTTCGCTTCTTTAGGGCATCTCTTCTTTGTGCAGCTAAAGTAGCTTGGAGGTCTTCGTCGTCGGCAAACGTCGAGTCGTCAGTCTTGCGCTTCCTGCTGACGAAGGTATTGCCAGAGTCTATGTCCATGGACTCATCTGGCTCTGGTTGTGGCAAAGGAAAGATGTCATCTTCGTCTATTGGGCGCTGTCTCGTCGATTTTGACTTCTTCTTTTTGGGTTTCTTTATTTTGACTTCCGAGATGTCCAAGTAATCTGATGCTAGTTGTGGCTGATCTTCGTTCAAGAAGTCGAGATTGATCTTTTGTCGTTGTTGGTTCTGCGGTTGACCAACTGCGCCGTCGGCTTGTATAGTATTTCCTAATCCATCCAACGTGAACCTTTGACTCTTCTTGCCGCTGATCTCTTCATCATATTGACCAAGAAGACTTCGCTCTCCCGTCTCGTCAGTCGCATTCGGGTCGTATACAGGCTTCTTCTTTTTCAGCTCGAGCTTCTTGTTAAGCTTCTCTTGCTCCCGGAGGTTGAGA